ATTGCTCCCTACCAAATATTTCAACATAAAAGCCAAATTTACGATCTAAATTTCCACACCCCTTTTTCAAGCTAACTATTTTTGTTTAAGAAAAGTTTAGATTAGATGTAAATCGCGTATGGGTCATCAGAATGAATTTCGAGAAGTAGTTAATAGATTGAGTACAGAAATGTATTGAAAATGTAAATTCAGATACATTTCTGAGATCTTGAACTTCATATAGGGGAATTTACGTATTCTCGTCAATCTAAGCAGCGTCCGCACTTCTATTAAGATTTTCTCAGCGTCACGCACATATATGACGTGTCTGTTTGTTTACATTCATCTTCTGCTTGCTTCTCTATCCATTCTAATCGAAAGAATTTTTCAAAACGGGTTTAAAGCGTTTTTACAACGCTCCAAACTTCTCAGGTGAGTGTGACTATTGTCGACAGACTATTTTTCTTCGGCAACCTTCCCATTAGAACTGCGTGTTAACCAGCTGTTCTATTATCGGCAACTAGAAATCAACCCCATTTTGAAGTGCGTATGCTTCATTTGAAGAAAAATCTGGCATTACAGGATTGCTCGGTCATACAAACATAATCAGATTGAAGCTGAAAGACTAAAGAATCGTTTGAATACATTCAGGGAAGTGTGTTGATGGGAAAACATAGTGAAATTAACGTTTAAATTTTGGTTGCCGACAACAGTCAATGGGTGCCGAAGCCAACATTTACCCTATTAGCTGAATTGTAAATACAAATTTCGAAAAATACACTAAAAAACATTATAAAATACGTATATGTGTTTCATATAAAATGTCCATAACACAAAAAACGTTTAATAGGGTCCCATAAAAAATACAATAAAAATACAATGATTTTCATTGTCATTGTAAACATGATATTTATTGTCAAAACATTGGACATTTTTGTCGATTACCATAAAATTACAACGAAATTCATGGTTCACAACAATGAAAATCATGGTATTTGATAAATTTACAGTTAAAAGGGGGGTTATTTTTTAACTTGTTCGTTTATTTGGCAGGCTCAATCGCGTTAGCTTTACGGAGCCGATAGTTCATTGTTCTTTGTTTGTAACAAAATTCACTTAATTCTATGTCTAGTAGGAGTTGGGCCGAATACTCGCGGCTTATTCGAGGTAAGAGAGGTACATTGACGAAGGATAGGATTAGGGGAGGAGCTAAGGGGTGAGATTTCGTTGTCTCATCAGTGCGTTGTCGCCAGTATGAACGGTAGTGCGGTTCTAGTTTCATCTGGAGTTCGACCGGCTATGCTGACCAGTGGGCGACTAAAAAAGGGGGTTGTTAAGCATCTTAACGATAAAAAAAATATTTTTCTAGAACAAATGTGATCTAATAACATTAATTTTAATTGTTTGCGCATTGTATCGTTAAAAAACGGATTTAATTTTTTTTTCCGTAAAACAATTTAACAATACATTTGAGTTCGAAATTCAACAGTAAAAATTATTGAAATTTTGTTGTTTTATTATAATTATTTTTTTCGGGCTTTAATACAAAAATACGGAAAACTAAAAAATACATAAATACGGAAAAATACTACATGCTTTTTTTCAAATCAGGTAGATGTATCGAAAATACTCAAGTTGACAGCCTCTCGACGGAAACATATGAAAAATCTTCAGCATAGTAAAATTTCTTTAAATCTTTATGTCTTTAATCTTTCAATAGATATGAAAATTCTTTGACTGGGATAGTTTTTAGAATTCAAGTTTGAAAACTAGAGGGCGCCAGTGGTGTAGTGGTAAGCGTTACTGCCTCTCACTCGTATGGGCCTGGGGTCAATCGTACTCAGCGCAACCGGGATGTTCTTCGGCATAAAATCTCTGAGCAAGCCTTCCTTCAGAAGGGAAGTAAAGCCGTTGGTCCCGTTGGTATATGAGTACCCATTAATGGGTCAATAGGTAAGGTCCAGGTGTGGGAGCTGCCTCCCTGGGGTCGGTAGCATTGGTACTCATTACTGAAAACAAGATTGACTGAAAACAAATTAAGAAAAACAAAATTTGAAAAACTCTTCTATATGTCCATAGAAATATTGTAAAATTCTTTATTCAATTCTGGGGCTTTAAAAAAAAAAATTACTCAGATAAACGTTTGAAATTTTGTGACCTATAAAAAGTTTGGTGTTCTCGGTAAAAATTTGTAAGGGGCTTTTCATAAACTACGTAGACAGTTTAGGGGGGGTGACAATTATCCACGGCCCATGCAAATTAAAAAAAAAATATATAGACAATTGTCTACGCAGGGGGAGGGGGGTCACGAATCCCAAAAAACGGTCTACGTAGTTAATGAACAGCCCCTAACAAAGTTTGCGGATCTAGACCAATTTTCAGGACTGTTAATATTCAAACTCAAAATATTTGAAGCAAGATTTTGGACATAGATAAATAGGGGAAATGGCCCTAATGTTGGCCTATGGATCTAAGATTGGGCCCATCGCTAAAAATCTGCTATTTATCAATTCTGTCTAGATGAAGGCGTCATTGGGACGGTACTAATGGATATTTTTGGTCGCTTTTGAAAATTTCGAGGAAAATTTAGTCGATTGCTGAATTTATGTGTGGGTCCAAATAAGGGGTATTTTGTCCCGCTACAGTTGAGGTAGTTATGGTTTGTGGCGAGGTTTGTGGTAGGTGCCGACAAAAAATGTTAAATTTTCAAATGTACTGTAGTAAACCAGTACTGATAGTACATTGCTTTTAAATTATATATATAAATTATTAGAGTCATCATAAGGCTCACGTCCAACTATTATCTCTTATTATATTAATACCGCGTTATTTATTTTTTTATATTGCAGCAACCCTCAACATCAAAAGTAGTGCAGATATCGGCACAGGTGCAACAGGATACCACAACTGATTGTACAAATCAGAAAAACGTAGATGTATCGCTGAAAACCCTGAACAAAAACCATCCCATTAAACATGGGCAAACACATCCAATCCCAATCGATGAAATTGGTCAACAAAGCACAGTCAGGAAACCTAAACAGAAAAACGAGATCGAAAGAATAGAATCAGGAAAGAACAAACAATGTACCACACCATCAGAAGACGATGACGTTGAAAATGTGGCCCCGAGCCCATTCTTCACTCCACTCGAGCTGACACAATTGTTGAAACAATCGGACACCGGCAATCGTATTCTTGAAAATAGCAATATGGTATTGTCCACCGACAGCAAGAAGGAGCTTGCTGCGATAATTGCCAATTATCATCTAAACAATACATTAAGTCAGTCACATCAGCAGAAACGAAAACTTTCTAGAAGTGTTCTGGAAAACTATGTGAATTGCGTTAAGCATCGCTTTCCGCATGAGTCGTCGGACATAGTAAGACTGAATACTGAATGTTTGGACTCAATTAATCCATTCGTTTAACTTTTTAGATATTTTACTACATACCTGCTGCACCTCCTGAGAGAAAAAATCCAGGAGGAGCTATTCATCAAGCGTATAAACGTTTGAAAACTGCAGCTCGACAACGAATTAAGCGTGAAGAGCTTCATCAGCAAACAGTACTACAAAATGAAGAAAAAAATGTTGATGATCCTTTCACATCAGAAGCATTGAAGTGGCTCGAATTAAACAACTCACCATGGGACATAGTGCTACAAAAATGGGTTCAAAGCTCAGCAAGTCGTGTCAAACAACTCAAAAAACTCCAAAGTGAAGAAATACTAAAAAAATATAGGCTTTATGCTGAAAAGTTTGGATTTCAGTTGGTAAGCAAAATTTTTGACTTAATTTTCGTCCTAGAAATTACATCCTGCATATAACCTTCCTTTTTTAACGGATTTGTATAAAAACATCTGTTGTTTCCATTAAGGATGTCTTCCAAATTGCTTTCTTTTCCATATTTTTTTCATAATTTGCCAAAATATAGCTAATTGTTTTTAGTTTATTAAAAATATACCGCAAACGATTTCTACTTATTTATTTATTTATTTATTTATTTATTTATTTATTTATTGACTTATATTTTATAACTTAAGACTTATGTCTTTCTTCTGTAACATCGATTATATCAAAGTATAACAAGCGCCACAAGTATATTACAAAACAAAAAAATAATTGATACGTAACACAAACTGTAACTTAATTCATCATGTGAGTTTCAATTCCCTCCTATCCCACAGGATTTAGATTTTTTCGTTGTACAAATGAAAGTATGAAAATGAATTTACCAAAAAGCTTTATTTCAGTTTTGCAAAAACTGGTTTTAAATATTTGTTACATACGCTCTTGTATATCCTTGTATGTATTATAGTACGAATTTAATATAGTATTTTATTTCTATTTTCAGATTGACGAAGATTTCCGTTCTATGGGATTTGAGGAAGGAATACGTAAATGGTCAAAGTTTATTTCCAATTTGAAACCATTCTTAGTACTGAAGGTGAAAGATCAACATTCCCTGTCGATCCTGGAGCACATGCTTCGCCCGGATGCTACAGAAGGTAAAATTATGATTTACAAAAAAAGAACGAATTTATAACGATTTTTTTTTGTATTTACAGATACGCTCATTTGTTGCACGATGATACTTCTGAACTGCTGTGTACAACCGTGTAAGACAACAAAAACGTTCAAGCCAGCTATTTTAACAGCACAGCAAGATGTGCTCCTTTTCGCAAGCAGTATAGATGAAGCTAAAACAGCTATTCGTGATTTGTTTAAAGGATACACTGATCACAAAATACCAGTTCACCCCAAATTAGTCGTGATTGGGAATAATTATCAATCATTTACTGGGGATTATTACGTCATTTATAATCAAATTGAATACAACGTCAAAACACTTGCTCGAGCTGTCGATATTGTAGTCAAAATGTGCAACATTTTTAATTTACCATTCTCAAAAATTTCGAAGTTGGTGTGGTTTAGTTTGGAAGAAATCCTGTATGACATCCGTGCTCCTGCACAATACAAAGCCATAGAAAGCATAAAAAAAGTTTGCAGTCGACTAGAATGATCAAATGTTTCGTAGAAAATTGTCTGCAGGATTTCTCTACCACAAACGAATATGTTGCACACCTTAAAAACCACAATTTGAACAAACCTTATATATTAAAATGTACTTTTGAATGCTGCCCTCAAGTACTATCATCGTTTTACAAATTTCGGCGCCATTTGAAATCACATCTACTCGAAAGAATGGAGCAAGCAGATCAAAATCCACGAACTTCTAAGCAATCGAAAAATGAATATCAAGAAGCTGAAGAAAGAATGGTACAATTTATTCAAATGTCTTAACATTGACTAGTTGCTAACTATTATTTTAAATTTTAGGATACCGGTGACAATGAAGTGGCTCTACCATCAACATCCACGCAGACTGCCACCATGCACTTGCAGAATTCTCTAAGCAGTTTGGATCGTCTAGCTATCAATTTCGTCATTGATCTACACAGGAAAAGAAACTTCAATCGCAAGGATGTAACAGATATTTTGAAAGGCGTACATTCCGTGTATTCAAATATAGGACGGCTAATCAGTACAGCAGCACCAACATCACAGGATGTACAACAACAATATGTATTTGATATGTATGTGCGAAAAGTATCAAATATTTTCGAATTTATTGATACTGAACATAAATTATTCAAGTATTTAGAAGAAGCTGATCTGTACAAGAAACCTAATGTTTATGTTATACATATCGATAAAGTAGAGTTATACAGTGATAGAAATGTAGAAACTCCTGAAAAAAGAACGTATTTGACCATGAGTAATGTAAAATATCAAATAAGAAAATTTTTTGAGCTAGGAAATGTTCTAGAAAAAACATTAGAACATATGGAAAACCTACAAAAATCTGCGAGACTCGAAAATTTTGTTAATGGGGCATTGTTTAAAACTGTTGAAGCTAAATGTCCTGAGAAAATCATCATTCCAATATTTTTTTATAGTGATGAATTCGAGATAAACGATCCACTTAGCGCCCATAATAAAAGGCATTCAATTTGTGCCCTTTATTACAGTTTTCCAACACTACCAACTTCTTACACTGCGAAATTGTCAAACATTTTCGTTGCTGGAGCTATAAAAAAAATTGACATTTCACAACATGGAGTTGATAAATTGATAGGACACGTCATAGACACATTTAAGGAAATTGAATCTAATGGAATTGTGATCAATACGAGGAACCACGAGTATCGCGTCCATTTTCCACTTATGTTAGTTCAAGGTGATAATCTTGGTTTGCATCAAATGTTGAAGTTTTCGGGATCCTTTACCGCTAATTTATACTGTAGATTCTGCCGAAGAACCAAAGATTATTTACGATTCGACATAGTGGAGCATGAAGATAGTCTTCGAGATGTTGATAATTATAACATAGATGTACAGCAGAAACAATCAGTGTCAGGATTGACTGGAAAATCATTATTCAACTCCCTAGAATCATTTCATACTGTTTCAAACTTCTATGCTGACATTATGCACGACTTTTATAGTTCTGGAGTGTGCTCATTTGGTTTCACTGAAGTGCTTAATTATTGCATATATATAAAAAAAATGTGCACTCTTGTTCAAATTAACAGCAGACGAAAACAACTGAACAACTACCGCTTAGAGCAAGGTTTAAGTAGAATGCCAGATATTGATGAAACATACATGAAATCTCAGAAGAAAAAAACAGTAATTTTGCGAATGACAGCTAGCGAAATGGCGGTTTTCGCAAACTTCTTTTCCTTTATAGTTGGACCGTTTGTTCCCTTGAACGATCCGGTTTGGAAATTTGCCATAACTTTGTTAAAACTGATTGACTTAATTAATCTTCCCTCTTTTTCGAACGAGGACTTGAATTTGTTAAATGATGTGATTACTGAGCACCATATGTTATATACAACACTTTTCGATCAGCATTTGAAGCCAAAACAGCATTTTTTGTTACACTATCGTAGAATTATAAGAAACAGTGGTCCTCTGAAAAAAATGTCATGTTTCAGGCACGAGGCACGCCATAGAGACTTCAAACAATATTTTAACAATGCTTCTTCAAGAAAGAATATTTGCTACACAATGTGCATCAAAGCATCTTTGTTTTTCACGTACGATATAATCAATGAAACATTTTTGAAAACATACATAAATGGAAAATTCAGCTTGAACCGTTGGAGTGAAAAAGATTATTTCACAGAGCTGATTTTTGAAAAACCCCTAGCAGAGCATGATTACATTTTTTCTAGTGATACGCTAACGTATCGAAATAAATTGTATAGAGCTGGAAACTTCCTGACAGTTTCTTTAAGTTCAGATGTCGAGATCTATCAAATCGTTGAAATTATTAAAATTAAAGAAGATTATTTTGTTGTTGTTTCACAATGGTCAGTTAAAAGCTTTGATGAACATTATCAGGCTTATATTGTAGGAGATAAGCAAAAAGGATACTATTTGTTAAATATTGATATATTTGATGGCCCTCCAGTTGCTTTAGAAAAAATACAGAATTATTTAATGTTAAGAAGAAAATTGTATACGTATAATGATTATGAATAAAAAATTACTTTATCTAGTATATGTATTCAATCTTTCTGGGCTATTTCTGATTGCGTCATGAATGACAAATTTCTTTTGACGCAATCAGGGCTAGTACTAACGGAGAAATTCAAAATAAAATATTAAAATAAACATTTGATTTCACCTTCATTTTTCAGTCTCAATTCATTTGAAAAGCTTGTTCTTGTAACCCTGTTCGCCAATTATTGTCCTCTGAATGTTGTATATTTTACATACATTTATGAAGCAAATTCACATGCGATTTTAAGCCTAAAAACATTTTAAAAGCTTGTGTTCACAATTCTATTCGCAAATTATTATCCCCTAAGCTCTGAATTTTTAACAATCAGTTTTGATGCAAATATCATACTACAATTAAATGATAATCATATGAACCTTCATCATCTGCTGAGAAATTCAACCAAAAGATAATCATCCAGAATTCGACAGCATATTGTTAAAGGGCGCAAGCGAATCAGTTTTCATTCAATGATAGGAGGATGTTTTGGTTCAGTGTATTTATTCTCTGCCTGTACTGTACTTTTCGCTTCAATTCTAAAATAAACGATTTGCAGTACGGACGTGTCTGCGCGTGTTCTCTCTTCAATAGGCTATGGGCCTATTCACGGAAGTTTATTCGTAGTGCGAAAAAGTTTTTTTTTTGTTTCTACGGTACGCGAGTGGTAAACATGCCTGGAAGCGGATCCGGAAACTCTGCTGGAGTATCGGGAAGTGGCGCTGGATCAGAAGTCCACAACATCTCCAGCCTTCTGGGAATCGAGTGGCTCACCGGACGTGATAACTGGCCCACGGGAAAGTTTGCGGTGCAGACATACTTGGAGCTGGACGATCTGTGGAGCGCTGTGAAACCGAAGAAGAAGCAGGCCGGAACCGACGATGCTGTTGACGCTGCTTGCGATCGCCGTGCGAGAGCAAAAATCATTTTGCTTCTCGATCCCGTTAGCTATGTCCACGTGAAGGAAGCGAAATCGGCGAAGGAAGTTTAGTTTGGGCCAAACTGGAAAGTGCATTTGACGACACAGGCCTAACGCTGCTCATCAACTGAACGGGATAAATTTCCCGATCTCCGATGAATGGATAGGAACGTTGCTGCTGGCTGGTCTCCCCGACGAATATCGCCCGATGATGATGGCTCTGGAGAACTCGGGAATGCCGATTACCGGGGATGCAATAAAAACAAAGCTGCAGCAGGAGGTAAAATTTTCGCCTGAAGATGCGGCACTGGCTGCTAGTCGACGGACGGGAGCAGCTGGACGCAGCGGGAAATACAAGCAGCACATGACGAATAACCCGAATTTTCTGGAAAATTTGCAGCCAGCGACCGGGTCCGTTGTCGCTGCTAATGGGAACGGTATGAAGGTAACGGCAAGTGGTTCGGCCACGTTGAAGCCGGTTTGTCAGGAGAACAATATTCCGGTTCACGATGTCCAACTGATCCCGGATCTTTCGGTGAATCTTCTCTCCGTGAAGCAGTTCGTCAGCAAGGGATATACGGTTGTGTTTACCAACGGTGGATGTAACATTGTAAACAGCGACGGGAAAACAGTGGCCACAGGCAAACACGAAAACGGATTGTTTCCGCTTGAGCAGCAGCAGGACACGAAGAATGATTTGGCTTGCTTGCCAGCAACCTGTGTGACGGTTTGGCACCAACGACTGGGACATTTGAACCTAAAGAGCGTTCGAAAGCTAGCCAACGGATTGGTAGATGATATCACACAATCAACAGCACAGACGCGGGAGGCTGCAAGGTATGTTCAATGGGTAAAAATTGTTGGCATCACTTTAGCAAGGAAGGTTCGCGTGCAGCAGAAATGCTCGATGTGGTGCACTCCGACATTTGCGGGCCCATGGAGGTGAAATCTCTTGGAGGAAGCAGATATTACATCGTCTTCGTGGATGATAAGTCTCGGAAGATGTGGACGTACTTCCTCAAAACGAAATCGGGACCAGAAGTTTTGAGAACTTTCTAAGAATTCCACGTAATGCTTGAGCGCCAATCCGAGCGGAAGATCAAGGTTCTTCGAAGCGACAACGAAAAGGAGTATGGATTCGAGAAGTACTTGAAGCAGCACGGCATTCAGCACCAGAAGACTACAGCATACACTCCGGAACAGAATGGTATGGCGGAGCATGCAAACCGTTCAATAGTTGAACTCGCTCGATGCCTACTGTTCGAAGCAGGACTGGCGAAGACGTTCTGGGCTGACGCCGTACATACTTCCGTCTACCTGCAGAACCAATCCCCAACTCAAGGTCACAACTCTACTCCTGAGCAAGTCTGGTCCGGGAAGTTACAAATACCCAAGGAACGGCGACGCAAGCTCGACCCCAAGTCTCGGGAATACATTTTTGTTGGGAACGACGATTACACGAAAGGATACTGGCTCTACGATCCGCTGTCGTGTAAAGTGTTCACCAGCCGCGAAGTCTGCTTCATCGACGAAGGTACACCAAGCGCACCGGATGAAAAGCAATGTCAGATCTTGGTCCCGCTAGACTTCAAGTTCGTTTCTTCATCGCCAGCTGCAAAAAGTTCGGACAACCGCTTCGTTGAGGAAACCGAGGACGACGACGCTGAGGACGAGTTCTTCACGGATTACGAAAGTGGAAGCGAAGAAGAGTTCAACGGCTTTGACCTTTCGCAAGAAACCGTGATCGACGTGACTCCCGTGCTCCCACCGCGCAAAACTTCAAATCCACCTCAGTCACAGGTGTTGAGACGTAGCGGTCGGGAGCACAAAATCCCACGCAAGTATAATGACTTTCAAGTAACGTACAAAGGTCTACCGCATTCTCAACCTTTACAGGAGGCTAATACGAACACGGACAACTTGGATACACCAGTGCAGCTCACACCCCAAGGCCTGTTCGGTGGTATTGCAACCGCATTCGACATGGCCGTAGCTGAGGGACCACTACCAAATGGCGATCCGGATACGTACCAAGAGGCACTGGAAATACGCAGCACTCTGGAAGCAAGCAATGCGTGAGGAGTATGATGCGCTCAGAGCAAACAACACCTGGACCTTGACCGAACTGCCTGCTGGTCGGGAGCCGATCAAATGGCTAGCGAGCGACGCTAAAACGGCGTTTCTCCAGGGAGAATTAAAGGAGGAGATTTACATGGAACAGCCTCCTTGTCTCCAAAACTCCCATCAGCCAAGACTGGTTTGCCGTTTGAATAAAGCTCTATACGGACACAAACAGTCCAGTCGCGTATGGAACGCAAAACTCGATGCTGCGGTGCGAACGTTTGGATTGACTCCGTCAAAGTACGATCCGTGTCTCCACTATCGCATCGAAGGCAACCGGATGAAATTTATTGCAATCTACGTAGACGACGTGATTATCTTTTCCAACGATAAAGTGTGGACTGCCGAGATCAAGATGAAGCTGGGTGACACGTTTCGCATGAAGGACCTAGGATCAGCGTAGCTCTGGATCAGGAGACATACATTGAGGCGATGCTGTCCCGATTCAACATGCAACATGCGAAGGCAGTGTCGACTCCGATGAACTCAAGCTTGAAGCTGACCAAAAAGTTGGCTCCGCAGACCACGGATGAAGCTGCAGAAATGAAAGAGGTGCCGTACCAGGAGGCTGTAGGCAGTTTGATGTATCTAGCGCAATGCACCAGACCTGATGTACTCTTCGCCGTTAACCAACTGAGTCGCTTCAACACGAATCCAGGAGTCAAGCACAGGGGAAGCGGTTAAACACCTGTTTCGGTACTTACGAGGTACGTCGAAGCTCAAACTGCAGTACACCAAGGGTTGTAGTACTGACCTGATTGGTTACTCTGATGCCGACTGGGCTTCGGACCTGGATGACCGTAAATCGACTAGCGGCTACATCTTCATGCGATGTCCTGGTGTTGCAAGCGGCAACCCACAGTTGCCGTATCGACTTGTGAAGCCGAGTGCATGGCTTTATCTGCCGCCGTACAGGAAGCCATGTGGTGGCGTGGTTTGATCAAACAACTTGGACTGGATCAAACCATCAAGCTTTGCTGCGACAATCAAAGCACTATATGCATTGCCAAAAACGAAGGGTACACGCCAGGTACCAAGCACATAGACATACGTCATCACTTTATGCGAGACGCCCTCGCCCAGAACATCGTTCGGCTGAAGTACGTGAGCACCGATCAACAGATTGCAGATGGCCTAAAAAGACTCTTGAACGGATCAAGCTGGAGCGAAACCGAGTTGCTATGGAGGTGGACGCATCAGTTTAAGAGGGAGTGTTGAGATAGTAGTGTAAGCTGTGCTTCATATTTTC